AACAAATGTACAAATGTGCTTGACACAATGGATGGATGTATGGATTGTGATAAGAGTTGTATGAGTCCCCAAGAAAATGATTTTTTAAAAAGTTACAGTCTAATATGATTCAACTATTAAACTGTATATGTGAATTATATGCCAATAAAACTGTTTTTACAAAAAGGGTTACAGTCTCAGAAGCCAACAGGGACAGGGTACCTTGGTCTACAGGGTTGCTGTGAATTGGAATAGACTTAATGCCACTGAATTTTTTGGAAAATGTTTAGGTGTAATGAAATGAGGTTTCAATTTTACTTTGCAGAATTTACCTGGCTTAACTATTCAACAAGGGTCGTGTTTGACTCTGGTCTGGTTTCAGCTGGACACACTCAGTTTTCATTTTATTATTAGTTCACCGACCGATTAAATAATCCTGTATATAAAACTGACTTCATAAATCTTTATGTCATAATTTATTTTATTGAGGTTTATTTTGTCTTTAAGTTCTGACACGTTCCAGGATTACTCAGATTATGTTTCAAGATACTTCCAACTGTACATCTTTGAATTGGAATAAAGAAGAATTAGAAGTGGAGCAGGTTCGTGTAAAAGCCTGATGCAATCCCTGTTGAATAATCTGCATCTCCAGGCTTTGGCTTCAATTTTAAAACAAAGGATTTCAACCTATAGCTAACCATGAAGTTCTCTTCGAGCTCTGTATTTGATTCTAGTACTGCTTTAGGTAAGACAACTTTGAGTTTTGTTCCTCTTTCATTCTTGGTAAAGATGAAATATAAATAAGCCACCCACAAACAATTTTTTTGCAAACTCACACACTATAGAATGACTCCCTAATTAGCAAGGGGATTAAACCTCTGGCCTTAACTTCAGCAAATCATGTTAACTGAGCTAAGTGACTAAGTGAAACTAGTTCTTGAAATAATGATAAGGAAGTACAGTGTATATAATGTCCACCAACTTCCTCTCACAACAGATATGGAGAAATGATGTTTTGTTTCCTTCTTTTATTTTTGAGGAGGTAGTTGCTACTTTACCCTATTGAGTTCATTCAATATTTTGTTTCACTTTTGCCCCGTCTGTAGTTCATGTCGTGCAGGAATCTATGCACACTGACTACAACAGGAGGATTCTGGAAGAGTGATGCTTGAAGAATTTTAAGTCTGAAATTTGGCATCACTTCCTGCACAATATAGTCTGAGCTGGCATAAACTACTGGTACAGGTAAGGTTGATCACTTATTCATTTTTAGTCTAAAAGTTAACTGTATAGAAATTCTAATAGGATTAAATTTTCTAAATTGTGAAAGCCAAATCATTAAGAAAAGTAGTCAACATAGTAATTATGTAGATCATCATTAGTAACCGAAGTTAGATTGGTAAAACTGCTGAGGGGAATTTCTAGAAATTCTATGGAAACAATTCCTTATATATAATATGTGAATTTTACTTTACTTCTTAAGCTTTACAGCATTCTCTGAAATTTAGAAAAGTGATATCTAGTATTTTATTACTAAAGTTTACTTTCAAAGGAGAAAATTTAAAAATTGGTAGGAAAAAGCTATTATCCATGAAATATTTTGAAATCCCCTTACATAGTAGAAACATGTTTGGAAAGCTAAAGAGGGTAAACTAGATCTGCTTTGTTATAGTGATACTCCTATGTAGACTTGTGTTTAGTACAAAGCTAATCTTTGATAGTCAATTTATCACATTTGCTACTGTGAAATAGAAAAATACAGCAGAACTGAGTAATATGAAATATTAGCTGCTGTATAAGGTGTTCCAGTTTAAAAAAGGATACTGTTGATCTTAATACAAAAATACAATAACATTTATAGATTTTTGTTATCTTTTGTACTATTATTGACAGCAGCAGGGACTAGTCTTTTTCTTTAATATGAATGTCATAAAATGAAATGTCTTTGTTTACAAAAATCCCAAATCTACTTTGAGCAGATACCTTAAAAAACAAACAAACAAGCTCCTCTTGGTCTCTATTCAAGTAATTTTTAAAGCGTGGGGTTACAGAACCAGATTTACATTATTTACAACTGTGGGTCTATATTCAATGCAACCAGAATCTGATTCACCAGTCTGCACTAGATTCAGATAGAAACGTATTCTGAAGCATATAAATAGTTTTCTAAATAAAACTGATCACCCCAAACCAAGCCCACTGCCATAGAGTTGATTCTGACTCATAGTAATAGGACAGAGCTAAACTGCTCCACAGGGTTTCCAAGGCTGTACTTTTCCTCTGGCCTGCCTTCTAGTTAGCAGGAAAAGAAAATGATACAGGTATTAGCAGGCATTAAGAGTCTCATGTACTAGAATCTCGAGATATTGAATAGCTGTTACATTTTCATATCTTAAGGAGGTTTCTTGGCTTAAAAAATATTTCGAAATAATAATATTATATTTCAGAAACTTTCTATTATCAATAAAATCACACCTCAGGTAAACCTCACTGGCTACTATATTGCCACTGCACAAAGCTGAAAATATGTCTATAATCTAAGATGGAGAAAATAAATGTAACTATGATTCTCAAAGAGAGGTAGAGAGGAGAAGAGCCCAGATGAAGGGTGTATATATAAGAATCTCAGAAAGCTGTAATATGAGAAACTATGATTAAAAAGAGATTGAGAAACCGTGCTATAGATTACAACAGGGTGGAGAATATGGTACATAGAAGCTATGATGAAGACATAGTAATGCAGCAGATTATCGTTAACTTAGTCTCACCTGAAAGCAATGAGGAAATGAGAAAAATAAGAATAGTTTGTATGTAATTCTTTGGCATTTCATGTGTACCCTTTAAATCAAGAAAGATTTTCAATTAAGCATAAAAGCTAAAAAACAAAAACAGGCTTTTATGCTGTTATTATTACAACAGCCTCTGAAAAACCAAAGACTGAAATTAACACATGAGGGCCCAATGACCAACTAGGATAGCAATTATAACCTGGTATTCTTTGGTTTTGAATGCTCTTTGTTTGGAAAAGGAGCCCCAGTGGCATAGTGGTTATGTGTTGGGCTGCTAACCATAAGGTCAACAGTTCGAAACTACCGGTTGCTCCTCAGAAGAAAAATGAGGTTTTCTACTCCTTTAGAGGTAGTCTCGGGAACCCACAGGGGCAGTTCTAGCCTGCCCTATAGGGTCACCCTGAGTCAGAATTAACTTGACAGCAGGGACTTTGTTATGTTGCTGGACACATGTGAGGCATGTTCACAAGAAATTATGTTAAGAATTAAGCATGTGTAGCAGAGATTTTCATACTAACCTACCCACACAACCCTTATGATACATTAAACCCAATATCTCAAATGTTGTATAATGTTAAATATTATAAATTTTATATGTAGTATCACAGTTTCATTTATAAGTTAATCGTGTATAATTATATTGTTTTTAAATAAAATAAGGTTTTTAAAATTAAAAAAAAAAAAGAATTAAGCATGTGGAATCTACAACTGCTCTTTGCCATGGTACCTCCTGTTACAAACTGGCCTCGAAGCATTTAGAAATCTAAAGTTATTAACAACACAAATGTACACACAACACTTTAAGTATTTGCATGGAGAATGTGTTTTAACATAAGGGAATGTGTTTAACATAAGCGAGGCGCCAAGTCACAAACACACAAAAATTGACACGGGCAGAGGATGGTGACCAGACTGGCTCATAAATATGTGGCTGCTGGTTTCCAATGTAACAAATAACACATTGAAAAGCAATGATCATTTTGAGAAAAATGGAATGTGTACAGAATTCGTGTTTCCATATACACCATGCCAATACATCTCTCAAAGACATCTATTTTTAAAAACAATTTCTATAAATTGCAATATTGTTCTTAGGCCACAGTACAACTTAGCATGCATAACTTTCCACATATGTCTGCAGATACTTCTGAATTCACTTTTTAAAAAGAAAGTATGGCACATTAGAACTGAGTATTTGAAATAAGCAATTATTGAACATCCTGGGATTTTGATTGCTATCCTTGGTCACTACACAGTCCTTCTTCTCAATTCAGGACATTGCTTGAGCTTTTGATAATATGGAATGAAGTTTACTTCTAAAATATGAAGAGGTTCTTCCAAATAAGGTGCATGTATCATTTACATTTACAAAATGCTTTAGGATAATTCAGTGTCTCTAATGTAAATAATAAATCCCATGCATCTAATTATTTGTATACAATTTTGTTTTTAGATAAAGCCACTGTCCACCATAATAGTCAACTTTCTGTTTTTATTTCAACCGGACAATTGTGATATAAAAAGGTAAGAAGACATCTATAATACTTTCCTTTCCATCCAATATATTTTTGTTACAAATTTGTTACAACCAATACTTTAAAATAAACAATTCAACTTACATACCATCTATAATTTTTTTACCATCTATAATTTTAATAGTAAATATGTGCAATTCTGTTCTAGCTCCTGTGCCAAAATTCAAGAAAATCTGATATAAATGAGTAACAATTCATCATGTATTCAACCATCAATGATCTCTTCAATGGCTTTACCAATTACCTACACCTTCCTTTGTATTGTGGGTCTCTTTGGAAACTCTCTCTCTCAATGGGTATTTTTAATGAAGATATGTAAGAAAACGCCAACCCACATCTACTTAGTACATCTTGTGACTGCAAACTTACTTGTGTGCAGTGCCATGCCTTTCATGGGTGTCTATTTCCTGAAAGGTTTCCAATGGAGATATCAATCCGCACAATGCCAGGTGGTTAATTTCCTGGGAACTCTAGCCATGCATGTAAGTATGTTTGTCAGCCTCTTAATTTTATGTTGGATTGCCATAAGCCGCTATGCTACCTTAATGAAAATGGATTCTACACCAGAGACCACTTCATGCTATGAGAAACTATTCTATGGCCATTTACTGAAAAAATTTCGTCAGCCCAATTTTGCCAGAAAGATATGTACTTACATATGGGGAGTTGTACTGGGCATAATTATTCCAGTTAGCATATACTACTCAGTTGTAGAGGCTACAGATGGAAAAGAAGACCGGTGCTATAATCGGCATATAGAACTAGGAGCCATGATTTCTCAGATTGCAGGTCTCATTGGAACCACATTCATTGGATTTTCATTTTTAGTTGTACTAATATCATATTACTCTTTTGTGAGCCATCTGAGAAAAGTAAGGACGTGTACATCTATTACAGAGAAAGATTTAATTTACAATTCTGTAAAAAAGCATCTGGTGGTCATCCAAATTCTACTAATAGTTTGCTTCCTTCCATATAGTATTTTTAAACCCATTTTTTATGTTCTACACCAAAGAGAGGACTGCCAGCAATTGAATTATTTAATAGAAATAAAAAACATCCTCACTTGCCTTGCTTCAGCCAGAAGTAGCACAGATCCCCTTATATTTCTTTTGTTAGATAAAAAATTCAAGAAGACATTATGTAATCTCTTTACAAAATCTGATTCACCACACACACAATCATATAGTTGACTTTTGAATGGAAAACTCCACTAAAGAGAGAAGTGTTCATGTGAGTCTATTAAGGACACTAAACGATATGATTAAGATGTAATAGTGTGGTTCATAACAAGCACTAAGAAAACCTCTTGGCGTGTGCCTTCAGTTCCCTGTTCTTGGACACATAAGAATTGCAGGCAAAGAAATGTGGACGTGGAGAAGTATGGAGTCAGCTTGCTACTCACAGGGTCAAAGTCATCCATCCCACATTGAACAACAACAACAAAAGAACCTCTTTGGTTTTAAAATTTAAATAAATGTATGACTAACACTGGAGTTACAGTTGTATTCATGCTGAAAGTTGAGGTGGCTGCCTTTCCATGACAAAAGTCAATCTATTCAAATGACCCTACTGTGCTGCATATGAAACCAAGAGACTATTTTCTGTTTAAGCTCGCCTGCGCTTGGGCCAGTTCTTTGCAACTGTATAATAAAGAAGCAAGCAGTTTTTGACTTGTCTGCATTTTCAGTAGTTAGAATACAAGGTCCTATCTTTGACTAGTGTTTTTTTTCTCTGTATAAATGAGTGAACAAAAAAAATATTATAAAATTCTCATACTCTTGGTTATAACTCTTGATCTCTTCCCACCCTGAGCAAAGGAGAGAGGAAAAAACCCAAAGACACAAAGAAGCAATTAGTCGAAAGGGTTAATAAACTCCTTTAGCCTAAGATCAGAACAACTAGATGATGCCCTGACTTCCACTACCTACCACTCGGACCAGGGACCTAATAGAAGGTCCTGATAAGATTAGACCTGACAGAAGCTTAGAATGGGAGAAAAATGTAGAACACAATTCACTGGTAAAAAAGATCGGAATTGTGATAACGAATGGACGAACTTCTGAGACTACTGACCTGTCAGTTTCCTAACTTGAACTGAAGTCATTCCCAAAGTCACTTCTCAGCCAAATAACAGAGTGGCCTATCAACAAGAGATTTCAGCGGGGAATTTGCACCTTTGGACAATCAACTATGTGGGACCAAAAAGGCAACATTTGCCCTCAACAAAGATGAGAAGGCAGGGAGGGGCAAGGGAAATGGATGAATGGAAAAAGAGGTGCCCAGGGTAGAAATGGGGACAGCATTGGCACAATGCAGGGATTTCAATCAATGCTGCAAATCAATTTGTGTGTAAATTATTGAACGGAAAACTTTGCTGTGCAAGCTTTCACCTAAATAATAATATACTTCTCTTAATTTTAAAATTAAAAAATCCTAATATATGATACTGTTTGATATCGAATCACTTAGTTAAATGTTAATCTGTCTTTATATATATATATCAGCAAGCATGATAGATGTCATAATTTATCCTTTTTGTGGTGTTACAAAGCATGCATTTTCTTGCACAACTAATTAAAAGTAATTAAACTAATACATGTAATGTGTTTAGTATGATGCTTAATATATTGAAAAGCATGTTAGCTATTATTAAATTATTGGGGATTTCAATTTGTTCTTATATATAATCAATATGCATTACTATGTGAAAAAAGCTTTTTAATATAATTAGTGATCTAAATTTAATTAAAACATTAACTTTATGATTAAAAAAGGGGATAACCATACTTATGTACTATCTAAATGTGTGAATTATACAGTACCATATCCAATGTTTTATAAAAACATTACTTGGTATTACCTGGTTCATGTTACTAGGCTAGAAAATATTAATGTATTCCAATACTTAAGCCATATGACATAAATGTTTACATATTTGGTTGAGGCTTTGTTAAAATAAAAAGGCAACATGTCACTCACTATGTGTCAATTTGTAGCACGTTTTCGTTATTTTTTCTGTATCTAATATGTTATTAATGACAAAACAGTACAAGGCATGTAAATTCAATTTTTGTGAAATGAATTAATAAAGCAGTATATTAGACATAACAGAATAATTTCTTGAGTTAGACTCCCTTTGTCCTATCCTGATTCCACATCTAACTTATGCAACTATAGACAATCTTACGTAAATTACCTGTTCCTTTAAGTCTTCACTTCTTCATTTGTAGAATTAAGAAATACTACCTAATTTACAGATCCTAAAAATGTTTTACAACTGATAGAAAAAAACCTGTGCCTAGATCATGCACCCTACGTAGCTGGATAAAGAAGTAATGAAAGGATTCCCATCTAATAAGCAAAAGATACATTCATTTCTTTTAAAATCAAGGATCTGGGTTTGGATTTTTTTTTTGAGGTGGGATGGTAGGAGAAGAGAAACACAGGAGTTAGAAATGCCAGATCAATTTATTTTTCTTAGTACTTTAATAGAACTTAAGGAGCCCTGGTGGCATAGTGGTTATGTGTTGGCCTGCTAACCTCAAGCAAGGTAAGCAGTTCAAAGCCACCAGTCACTCTGCAAGAGAAAGATGAGGCTTTGTACTCCTGTAAAGAGTTATAGTCGACTCACTCACTCACTCACTCACTCTCTCTCTCTCTCTCTCACTCTCACTCTCTCATGCTCTCTCTCTCTCACTGTCACTCTCTCGCGCTCTCATGCACTCACTCACTCACTCATTCACTCTCTCACTGCTAGAAAAAAACAAAACAACAAAAAAAAACACACACAAAAAAAGAGTTATAGTCTCCGAAACCCATGGGGGCAGTTCTACCTGTTCCATAGGGTTGCTATGCGTCATAATCGGCATGGTAGCACTGGTTTTTGGTTTTGTGTTATAGTTTAAATTCTGAGCACCCCATTTGCAAAAGGCTATGGATGACGGACGGTATCCATTTGCAAAAAGTCATTTGCAGAGTTTCCACGTGGATTAAGCCTCTATTGAGTTCCTTCTAATCTTTAACCAAAGATACAGACAGTCTTACCTTCAAGTAGAATGCATTGAAAAGTGGATTACCTTCATCCCTCTCCAGCCAGGAGCTTGCCTGAGTTTGTCCTTGATGGAGATCAAGGTTCGGGGGTGGGGGGGTGGGTTGTCACATAATCAGGTTCATGCCCTATCAGGCGTGCCTGACTGCATTGGCTGGAAAGCCCTGGACTAATCTTGGAAATTCTTCTATCTAACATAATGTACGTGATCCAATCTTGGTCCTGTCCCCTCTCCTGTAGTCCCACCTGGAACTATGGTGTATTGATCTGCCACCAACCATGAATTTGTGATAGTTTCCATGCCTTATTATTTAACTAGTGTCCTGACTGAATCTTTGGATGCCATTATGGTCTTGTGCTATGGCTCTCCTGCCTCCAAAAGATGTGTGTGTGTCTTTGTCCCCTTCAAGATTTAATAAATGTTCTCCTTAAATAATATTTGCGGTCAGGGGGTCTCTTTTGTACAGTATAATTAGTAAAATCCTACATTCCAAGTAAACGTGCATCGTATATTCAACAACTACAAACGTAGCTCAAGAGACTAACCATAATTTTTCTAATAATAAAGAGGAAAACAAACAAGTTTTCATTTTAATGAGAACTTAAACTTCTTTATAGAGCATCAGGGACTTTTGAGACTTGCAGAAACAGATGGCAATGATGTAGAAGGAACATCAGCAAGAGCAATAGAGGAAGAGATGCAGTAAGAAATCCACAAAGCCATGGTAACTACGGTTCAGTGATGAACACTCCTTTAAGATAGCCTGGTCCTAAGCAGGTGAAAGGAGAACTGAGATCAGAAGGGGACCTAAAGCAGCCAGGCGTGTTCACATGGGCTAGTGAAGTAAACCATTTAGAGGAAGCACACTCAGAAACACTGAGGCGTGGGGGGCTTCTGGCTGAGCGAATATCCTTATGGGTGACTGAGGCTTTGCAGACAGTTCGAAACACTCAAACTTTCTGGGTACCAGCTCCATTCAGAATGGAAAGTGATTACATGTGTAATGATTTACAATCAGAGATGCTGCTTAACTTACTAAATGTATTCAAAAGTGTACATCAGTAGGTAAAAATGACATGTCACACCCAGTTGTGGGGCTGCCTGCAAGAGTTCCAAGAGACAAGAAAATTCCACAATCTCCCGGTGTTAAGCAGCATCATGAAAATTTCACAGAGGGCAGGAAAGGGGCTAAAGGTTTGTTTCACTGCCATGGAGTCGATGCCAACTCATAGTGCTCCTATAGGGCAGGGTAGAACTGCCCCCCTGAGTTTCCCAGAGCAGAACTCTTTACTGGAGTAGAAAGTCCTGTTGTCTTTTTCCTGTGGAGCTGCTGGCGGTTTCGAACTGCTGCCTTGTAATCAGCAGCCCAACTCCTAACCACTATGCTACTAAGGGCTCCTGTTTACACCAACAATTGTGCTTTATATAAAATACTTTTAATTTAAGGATGAGAAGCAGCAGCGAGGAAAACACTGAAACATAAAAGAAGAGTAAAGGCAAAGAAACCCAAGCCCACTGCCATCAAGTTGATTCCAAATCATAGTGACCATATAGACCAGAGTAGAGCTGTTCTCCGATGTTTCCGAGGCTGTATATCTTTATGAGAGCCAACAGTTTCATCTTTCTCCTGTGGATCCATTAGATTAGCTGGTGAGTTCAGACTGCTGACCTTGAAGTTAGCAGCTCAACGTATAAGGGCAAAAAGAAAAAAGATACTGTGCGTGTGTTTGTGTGCGTGTGCTCACCTTAATTAATGCCTATAGGGAGGCATAGCATAAGAGGCACAACATTATATACTAAGTTGGTGGTTCCTGGGGACAATTTCTGCCTCCCAGGGGTCATACGGCATTCTGGAGCTATTTTTGTTTGTCAGAGCTTGGGGGAGTTGCTACTGGTATCTAGTGGATGAAGACCAGGGATGATGCTAAATGGCATTAGTTAGTGTGGCTCTTGGGTGACTGTGGTGACACCTAATTTGGTGTCAATTTGAGGATTAAGAGTGTAGGGGTGGAGTCTAGTTTGTCAATCCGGAGATAGCCAATGAGACCTTTTGTGGGCATGGTCTTCTCCTAAGAATTCTGGGAACTGCTGATTTTCCTCCTTGGAGATGGGAGACACTCTCTCACTCCCTTGGAGACTCTCAGCTGACAAGGCTTACTCCCTGCGAGACATCCCTGAGGAGAAGCCACATGGACCAACCCTGATGCAGAGAACCCAGGACCTGGAGAAGCCACGTGGAGACCCCTGTCAGCGCTGAGATTCTTACAACGCCACTGAATCCAAAGACTTTCTACCCACTGGCCTGTGATCAGCCTGCATTCGGCATCATTGCTTTTGTTTTGTGAGTCTGAGGAGGACTTTATAGGTTGGTATCGGATAT